CCAAACAACAGCTCATCAAACTGGGCTCGGCTCAGTCTGAAGCACTGCTGAAAGCTTCCATCATCCAGGTAAAGTTTCTGGAGAAGGTGATGAACTCACAGTGCTGGGTGCACCTCTGAAAGGATCTAGTGGACTCAGACATGGCGCCGAACGAATCTATGCTGTTTTTCAGCCTCATTACAGCACATAAAGCACAGCTACTATCTCAATTTCCCTGATTAAGTAAAGCACTTTGAGTGTCCAGAAAATCGCTATATAAATGTAAGGAATTATTATTAGTTAGTCTTTGAAAATGCACATTTCACATCGGAATTCATGTCTTTGTTTTGGTCTTTATAACCCACCCACTGCCAGTTTACTCCGTTATATTTGAGCACCCAGGTTGCCTTGATGCAAAGCATTTCATTAGGGCATGAAGGCTGCCTTAATGTATGTAGGCACTGCCAAAACTGCGACCTCCGGATAACAGTAGCAGACTCAGAAATTAGATATAGATTCAGGGTTATAAAAATACACATAAGGTGGCAAATGATAAAAGCTAATAATATAAATATTATTTATATTTACATAAATATTATTTATATTTACAAACAGTAGCTGTCCAGCAGTGTAATGCTGCATTCACACCAGATCCAGCGCCAAGAGTGAGTGATTCACATGTTAAGTCAATGCAAAGACGTGAATAGATATCCTGTGATGCGATTCACGCGAATGAAGTGACGCAAATGATGTAATTGGCGGGAATGAAGAGTGGAACCTTTTGCATGTGTCTCGCAAATCGATTTAGTTGGAAAATCTGAACTTCAAGGGGATATTTGCGCCGTGTTAACCAATCATGAGCTTGCTCTCAAAGGGGCGTGATTATGACGTAGCACCTGTTGTTGGTATCGTGAGGGGAAATCCTCCACCTTACACCAAACAACAGCTCATCAAACTGGGCTCAGCTCAGTCTGAAGCACTGCTGAAAGCTTCCATCATCCAGGTATAGTTTCTGGAGAAGGTGATGAACTCACAGTGCTGGGTGCACCTCTAAAAGGATCTAGTGGACTCAGACATTGCGCCAAACGAATCTATGCTGTTTTTCAGCCTCATTAAAGCACATAAAGCACGGCTACTATCTCAATAAATCTACGTTAGCCATTTAGCAACAAAGCTAGAGTCACTGAGCAGACAGAAGTCCTACCCATGATGCAAATATGCGTCTATTGTGAAGTGAATTTGATACAAGAATGAACAAATTCGACGCAAGAATACAGTAAACTCAAAATGTTCAAGCATCTATTTACATGCAAATAAAAATAGCGCTTTTTATTTGTGCGTTCCAAGTCTGTGTGAAAGCAGCATAAGAATTTAAGCTGGGTATACAGTTTATGAAACACCTTAATATTGTTCCTTTATTTGTGGGACCTCCTTGAAAATGAGATGGTACATCTCAAAAGGTTAATCCTAATGAATAAATAAATGGAAATGGTAATATATAGAGCGAGAGAAAATATAAGTGAAGTAAAGAACAGTAAATTAAGAAAAACAATGACAAAATACAATAAAATCCATGTCAGCCATTTAGCAACGAAGCTAGAGTCACTGGGCAGACAGAAGAGCCTGCCCATGATGCGAATCCGGGTCTATTGTGAAGTGAATGTTTAAGTGAATTTGGCGCACAAATAAAGTGAGTAAACTCAAAATGTTCATGCTTCTAATTAAAATTTATCTGCAAGGGCCGTGTCTGGTGTTATCACAGCATAAGTCTTGTTTTTATCGTCAATCTGGCAACCTGCATGTGCGTAGAGTCGCAGCTTCCATATTTTGAATTTGGACTGCAATACTTAGGTCAACCATTAGGGGTCAATTCTACAAACTACACCTTCAAAGTGTTTAAAGAGACAATTAATCACTGTAACAGGAAGGTGTTGTGTGTCATTTAGGTGCTGTGAGCTATATTGTGGCGTCCTTCTGAGAGGGATAAATGCACTTGGGGAGCATTTAAAGAGCCCCTGATTTGAATTATAAATGTGTGTGTGTGTGTGTGTGTGTGTGTGTGAGGGAGAGAGTGAGCAGGCCAGGCACAGGTTCAATAGCAGCAGGAGCTTTCACTGATAATGGAATGCATGAATGTGGGGTCTAAATGTGGGAGGAGCCAAAGCTCTGGACAATTACTGCTACAAGAAACCGCCAGATGCCAGACCCGTGATCCAAAACCTGTGTGTGCATGGGGGAATCTGGAAATAAACCTGTCAAGAATGTGTTTAGGTCGACCCAGAAATGAACCCAAAACATTTTTTTGAATAATGAAAATTTCCACTATAAAAAAAAGCTTGTAAGTTGCAACTATTATGTTTCAACTTCGTGTTTTAGGTCAGTATAATAAGTTGAAATGGTTTGCACCGGTGATTTGAAGTCTGCCTCTACCGGAAGTTGCTGAGACTTTACAGAAGCAAATAGTCAGATTTGGTTACCAAAACAAGCTTTTTTTTCAGTGGGTTATTTTGCACAGGTGGTGGCTCAGTGGTTGGCACTGTCTCCTCACAGCAAGAAGGGCACTGGTTCGAGCCCTGGCTGGGCCAGTTGCCATTTCTTTTGCCATTTTGCATGTTCTCCTCGTGTTTGTGTGGGTTTCTTTCGGGTTTTCCGGTTGCCCCCACAGTCCAAAGACATGCGGTATAGGTAAATTGAATAAACTAAAATGAGTATGGGTGTTACTCAATACTGGGTTGCGGGTAAAAGGGCACCTGCTGTGTAAAACATATGCTGGAATAGTTGGCGGTTCATTCCACTGTGGCGACCGCTGATAAATAAAGGACTAAGCTTAAGGAAAATGAATAAATGAATGAATAACTTGCACAGATCACTTGTTTACCTAAATAATAAGTGTACACTAGCAAAATAAGCATCATAAATAATGATTTTACAAGGACTTTAAAGGCAGCAGCAACTTCTATTTTACGACGTAGAGATTTAATTTTGACAGCTATGCAAACAATAGTTAACAAAAAAGTTTTTACTGTGAAATATTATTTTAGTTCTTCTTAGCAAAATCTCACATTTAATTGTTTCTTGACATTTCTGTGTAATTAATTGTTTAAAATTATTATCAGTGAAAGTCATACAGTATAAAAAATATCCCTCGATTCTCAGTAGTGTAATGCAAAAGTCAGTTCACTTAAAAAAATTTGTGCACCCCTCACAAATCTGTATTTTAAATTCATATTTTTAAAAAGAAGCGATAGAATATTATATTTGTGCAAATATGTTAGATTAGTCAGTACAGAAGCCAAATCTGCAACTTATCTAACAAAATAACTTACAATAACAGTCCAAAAACTAGTACACCCAAAATGATGATATAGAAAACTATTAAACACAAAATTTATAAAAGAGAAAAAATCAAGAGAAGCCAAATTTTGTTGAAATTTTGTAGGTTGTAATTTTTTCTTGAAATATTTACGTTTCAATTTTTAAATATGTTTGGTGATTAAAATAATATTTTAATAAATATATCTGTTTAATAAACCTGTTTTGTTTAAATGCACCAAAATACATTGCCTATATTCACTGAGAAATGGATAAAAACCTTCAGTTTCAAAATGGGGTGAACTCAATTATGCTGAAAACTGTATATTTAATTGGAAAACCAAGTTGGCGCTGCTTGAGTTCGATTCGATCTTTCCTCATTCTTTCTGCTACCCAAATATTCGTGTCTCTATTGTCCAATCTATTAAAGGTGAAAAATAATTTTTAAAATATTTTTAAAAAAAGGAAAACCAGTTTAAAATGTATTTGAAAAATACTGAACATTTTTACAGTGTGTTTTTATTGGTTATTTATGCAAAAACAAATTATTAGTATTACAATTTTTTGTTGATTTAAATAAAGATAATAAATTAGCTGTGACATGGTGGCTCGGTGGTTACCACTGTCGCCTCAAAGCAAAAAGGTTGCTGGTTCGAGTCACGGCTGGGCCAGTTGGCATTTCTGTGTGGAGTTTGCATGTTCTCCCCATGTTTGTGTGTGTTTCCTCTGGGTGCTCCGGTTTTCCCCACAAGTCCAAAGATGTGCTCTAGGTGAATTAAATAAACTAAATTGGCTGTAGTGTATGAGTGTGTATGAATGTTTCCCAGTACTTGGTTGCAGCTAAAAGGGGCATCCACTGTGTAAAACATATGCTGAATAAGTTGGCAGTTCATTCCACGGTGGCGACCTCTGATAAATAAAGGGACTAAGCAGAAGGAAAATGAACGAATTACCATGTTATAAAATTGTCCAAAAGAAGCCCAACAGCTAAACTAACTTAGACTTGTCATGTGTATGATTTGAAGTGCTTCTGATTAAATGTATTACTTTAATAAAAATAACCCAATGAGGATCATGAGAATCCACCTCCTAAACACATTCCATATGAGATTTAGCGAAATATCTCAATGTCTTATTCCCAAAATTGTATAATTATTCTTCTGATGTGCTTCTTGAAGTGAAATGTGACCAGTAGATGTTTTTGTTAAATTCAGTCGCATGCTTTTTGAGTGCGAATGTTTGTTTGTGAGGGAGGTGGAGAATAATGGTGTGAGTGTGTGTGTGAGAAAGAGAGAGCGTAAACAAAATGATTTACTTTCATACGCAGAAGAGACAAGAAACTAACACCCATGTTTATTCAGCGCCATGTAGACAGTGAATCTATCTGCGACTTAATTCATTCGGTCAAAGCGTCATGTTTCCATTATAATCAGGTGAACATCACTGCAGAAATTGGCCCTCACGATGACAGACAGTCGGATCAGTCGTTTGGCAAACGCCCTTGAAGAGACTGACCAGGCAAACAAGAGCCATCAATCATCCACTTCTGCCTGTCATTCAGCAGAAATACACCTGACACAAACCTCAACCCATTCTCATCTTTATTTCCACGCTTATATGCATGAAAATGGAATCTTAATTTCTAAGATGTGGAAATACCATTGTCCGACCTCATCACAGCATTCCTGTTTGTCCATGGCAATGGTGGATGCTGGTGCTCGGAGCATTATTAAAGCTGCTTTGTGGTTTTGCAGTGGTACGCAGCTCGAGGCACATGCCAGATGATCAGGGGAGGAATACAGGTCCCCTGAGAGCAAGTCATGTGACCAGCCCATGCCACGTGACGTCAGCGGCAGATGGCATGGGTACCAGCTCTGGCAGTTGGCATCAGTGTCATTTCTCTTAGCGCGAGACAAGGAGAACAGTGGGGAGGTGAGAAAACCGCACGAGCTGTTCACCTGCTAAAACACCACGCCGGGAAAAAGAAAGTTCAAAATAGGAAATATGAAAACTGTCATCTGACACCATCATATTCCAGGTAAGCAGGACAGTTGGAGGGTATAAATCGACATCTGTAATGCATGAAAATCTGATGCATTGTAAACAAGTTTATTGATTTCATCTCAGCTGCACTGTTGGTTTTATTTTGGTACATCTAGATTTATCAGAATTTCTGTATTTTATATTTGAGTGCATCATTGTGTACATTGAGCATTGTAAATGGTTGATTCAGAAGATCTTTTATCTTCTCCCCAGTAAGAGCACAATGCTGACTCTTCCCTTTGAGGATCCCGTCATAATGGACACTCAATTCGGGGCAAACTTTCCAAGGGACTGCGTGGGAGACTTGAAGGGCAATAAACAAGAGCCCTTCGAGAAGGAGGAGACTCTGTCCCATGTGATGGACGATGATGATTCGGAGAAGGACGAAGATGAACGGGAGGATGGACAAGACGAGAACGGTCTGCCTCGGAGGAGAGGACCTCGGAAAAAGAAAATGACCAAAGCTCGGGTGGACCGGGTCAAGGTGAGGCGCATGGAGGCCAACGCGAGAGAGAGGAACCGCATGCATGGTCTGAACAATGCCTTGGACAGCCTGCGCAAGGTGGTGCCGTGCTACTCCAAAACTCAAAAACTATCAAAAATCGAAACCTTGCGGCTGGCCAAAAATTACATCTGGGCGCTCTCTGAGATCCTGAGCACTGGGAAGAGGCCTGACCTCTTGACCTTCGTTCAGACCTTGTGCAAAGGGCTTTCTCAGCCCACCACAAATCTAGTGGCCGGGTGCCTGCAGCTGAATGCAAGGAACTTCATTCCGGATCAGATCAGTGGTGAGGCGTCTTTCTCCGGTAGGTCACCTTATGAATCAGTGTACTCAACCTACCACAGTCCCAGTGTGGTGACGCCTTCAGGACCCTCCGTTGATGCCGTCAAACCCTTCAGGTCGTTCAACTACTGCAGCTCCTACGAGTCTTTCTACGAAAGCGTGTCGCCGGAATGCGGAAGCCCTCAGTTTGAGGGTCCCCTAAGCCCTCCTATTAACTTTAACGGAATCTTTTCCCTCAAGCACGAAGAGCCGGTTGAGTACGGCAAGAGCTGCCACTACGGCACGCGCTACTGCGCGGTTCCGCCGCGCGCTTCCATCGGCCAGAGCGCGCGGGGCTCGTCGGATCTCCATTTCCCATATGACATTCACCTTCGCGGCCAATTTTACCCCGTGCAAGACGAATTAAACACTTTTCATAATTAACGAGATGAGAGAGAAAGTCATATGTGAGTGAAAATGCAGGACGTTCAATCGCACATGTATTATTTATTATAAAAAGCGCCCGTCTCGGATTCTGGGTTTGGGCCATCGGATGTTTTATTATTTATCATTTTTAATTAAATGGAAAATGTGCTTACGGTGTTTCTAAACAATTTGTTTTTATAACTTGAAATTGTTCGCGTATTCTTATGGGAAAAAACAATCCCCTTTATAATTGGAATGTGATTTATTTATTAATTTATTTATTTTTATTTAGTGAGCATTTATTGATCTTACAAACACAATCTGTAAATAAAAACTATTGGACTAAAAGGCGAAATTTAATTATGAGGATTAAGTCGTTCAAATAGGCCTATTTGCGATATAAATTTAGGAAAAAAAGAGAGCAATAATAGGGTGCTATGCAATACACGAATGCTCGATCTGGCCTTTTATATATCTTCATAATTTGTCTAAACAATGTTAGCAGAAATTTCAAAATATTGCTGTTTAAAAGACTTAAAATGTCACCATTTTTATATAAATAATTGTTTATTGGTTTATGTAAAGACTAACAGGAGAACATGGATTTTATTTATTTATATTTTATCAAATTTTTATTCTTAATGGTGAAAGTTTTGTGGTGTTTTTACACAGGGCACTGTTTAGGCTATATGGTGGTAAATAAATTGATTCAATCATTGCCTATTAGCCTATTATTATTAATTATTATTATTATTATTATTATTATTATTAATCATAATCATAAAAACAAGAGGCTAATAATAATATTTACACTAATGCTCAAAGAAAGCGAAGAGTCAATGATTGAATTAATTATTCTGGTAAAGAACATATAGGATACTAAAAAATATATGTGGATGTAATTCTGAAAACGAAATTATAATGGTATATTAACGAATTGCATTATTTGTTTATCTGTGTAACTTTATAAATGTGGACAATCGAGTTTTCTGCATCCTTTCAATTTCCAAATATTTTAAATAATTCACCTGTGTCTGCGCGTAATTTTAAGAGTAAGATCACAACACGATGATGATAATGATGTAATTATGCAACAGATTGTTTGACAGTTCCGTCTTTTATCAAATATTAAGTCGTCGATATATTGGTGACATTGCGTACAATCGCGGAACTATCACTGTAAGCAAATGCATTTGAAGCATGTAAAATCTCTAATGGAAAGGTCTGTGTGGTGTCTAGTGAACTCATGTCACGGGAAAACCTGCCTTAATATATTTGTCAGCATCATTTATGCAATGTCATCATGGATGTCTGCAGTGGTGAATTCGTGCATTCTGATTTTTCACACCAAACGGATTTTTTTCTGTGCACAAATTATTGAATGCACTGAAACTGGTCTTTGTACACTGTCAAGCTGTTTTGTACAGTAAAATAAAGTTTAATTCAATACACTCTCTGTTCTAAATTAATACATGACAGAAATCTAGATAAATTAATCAAATATATAAGCATTTAAATAAATAAAACAAATTATTTGCATTTTAAATTAATAAATATCTACAGTAAACCTCAGTTTGTGTCTCAGAAAAGGTGAAAGCACGCATTTGGCAATTCGGTTTTTTTTTTTTTTTTTTTGTAAATGCACTAATAATCAATAAATAAAACGACTGTTTAAAATGTAAAATATAAAGTTTTTCGAATAAAATATTTTGGGAAACTACATTTTAACATTTAAAATAATAAAAATAAACATTCAATACAGTTCATAAAACATCTGAGGTTCAGAAAAGAGAAAACATTTACAGAGGACAAAGGAATCCCTGAAAACACCAAACCCTTCTCGTGCATTAGTTTATAGGCCTATATGCGACACATTGGCCAAGGTTAATTGTAAAATGAGATGTTCTTGAGATGTTATTCAGGACTGGGTTCAGGGGAGTAAAGGTTTGAGTCTCTCGTGTCTCCGAGTTCAGCAGTGAGCTGGACGCGGGCCAAACAGCGACAGACTGCGGATCAGGATCCCGAAATCTGCTGCTATCCCCCCGCGAATGTGTATTGTCATCCCGGGGAAAAGACGTGACAGCATTTGTGACACGTAGGTTATAAAGAACCTGGGTTAAAAATACATTAAAGTCACATTTTTCAATACTTAAAGGGATAGTTTACCCAAAATTGAACATTCTTTCATGATGAAGTCCGACAATGCTTTACTAAACACTGTAAAAAAATGCTGGATTTAATTAATTTGTGTAGGGGCAACATGAAAAAATCAGGTTAACTTATTAGTTTATACAAATTTAAGTATATTGAACATAAAAAACCGAAGAATTGTATTGTTTCAGCTCATTTTCAATAAGTAGTTTGACAAACAATGTTTTTTAGTGAACCTAATTGACATGCGCTCTTCTGCAAAAGAAGATACTTTGAAGAAAGATGTAGCCATTGACTTCTATTAAAAAAATTGTTTTTCTATATGGAAGTCGATGGTTACAGGTTTTCAGCATTCCTCAAAATATCTTTTTATCTGTTGAACAGAAAAAAATAAACTCATAAAGGTTTGCAACTACCTGATGGTGAGTAAATTGTGAATAATTTTATCTATCTATCTATCTATCTATCTATCTATCTATCTATCTATCTATCTATCTATCTATCTATCTATCTATCTATCTATCTATCTATTTATTTTTGTAATTAATTATTTTTTGTAAATTGCCCCTTAAATCTCAGCACGTGGTTTTGTTTTTGCTTGAAGTAGCTTTCATGCTGGCCATGAGTTTGATTCAACTACAATGTCATATTGCTTTGAATTTGACCAAACAAACACAGCTATACACAGATTTTAGGTTTGCTTCGTATTCACTGACAGTTTTGACAATACATTAATACCAAAAATATAAAGTATTCCTCCCCTCTAAAGCCAAAGTAATTGGTTCCCTTTTTCGCTTTTACCGAAAGATTTTGCGGTAATGTTTAATTAGTCAGCATGTCGTCCTAAAACACCTAATGCTTTTGACAGATGCGAAAAATCAACCTGCACATTTACCGATTGAGATTTCTGATTTGCTTTGGGGATGTTGAGGTGTCAGAAAAAAACCCACAGTGGCGATATTTCACACAACTAGGAGAGATGCAGAACATATGCTACCCCAGAGACAAAGCTGTCAGGAGCGAACAGCTGAAAAATGAGCAGCAGCGGCACACTTCTCCGTGAGGCCGGTGGAAAGATCTCACCGCGCGGCTTTCTTATAAGTTGTTGATCGTTATATACATAGGTAAATTTAATGCGTGAGCACAGATACGCATTTGGGCCCTAAAGGGTTTACCCAAACCTGAACATTCTGTCGTTATATAATTTTACAAATCATTCACTGTAAAAAAAAAAAAAAAAAAAAAAAAAAAAGCTGGGTTCCACACAATTTCATGTTATCACAACACAAATCGATTAATTGACTTAAAAGTTTTAACAAATGTAAGTGAATTGAATAGAAAAAAAGTAGTCCCCAAAAAACCCTTAAGATGTACAATGTTTTCTCAGCTCCATTTTAAATTAGTAGTTTGAACAAGCAGCAAGTAATTTTTTGAGTGTTCACTTGTTCTAATCCCTTTTGACTTTCTTTTGTTGAAAAAAAGAAACTATATTGAAGAAAGCTTAAAAGTTTTACCTTTGACTTATTTTCTCCTGCACTCTCAGAAATAAAAAGGTAAACAGTGGTACAAATAATGTTCATTAAGGAACAGTTTTGTACCTTTGTAAAAATTGTACCTTACAGTATATGGTACAGAAAAGACCTCTTATGATACTGCTCTGTACCTATTATGGTACAATTGGAATGAAGGTATACACAATTGTTCTCATAAAAAAGGTACATAAGTGTTGGACAACTCAGACAACATCGATATTACAGGAAAGGCAAAGTGATTTTATGAATAATTTCCATATTAAAACATCAATCATTTAAAAGCATATGTTTAAAGACACTCATAAACATTAAATATTAAGTTCAATAATACAAAAAACTAGGTATTGTAAACTATGGCATTTTTAATAAACATTTGGTAGTATTTAATACAGTTTCATTATTGATATTTGCACTGTTTGGCGTTTGTTTTCCAATAAGCTTGTGAGCTGGCAAAAGTCCTGCATATGCAAAATGTTCATGCAGACATTTTAGTATTGTAAAGCTAATCAAACATTTTGCATATCTTGTTACTTTTACATTATAATCTTTCTATTTTAAAATAAATTAAATGAACTGTTAGATGGATTTTATTCTAATAAACAAAACTTTCGGTGGTTCATTCCGCTGTGGCAACCCCTGATTAATAAAGGGACTAAGCTGAAAAGAAAATTAATGAATGAAATTAACATCTATTTTAAAGTGACAGACCACAAAGTTAGGGAGCCTATTTGAGCACACTTTGCATCTAATACTATTAATATAATTGACTCTATAAGGAACTGAGACATTTAAATGTTTAAAACTGATTTCAGAACAGAGGTAAAGTTGGTTTTATATTCACACATTCTGACTTTCCCCTTAATAGTATTATTTGCAAATTATAAATAGTGAAATCATATTAGCAGCCCATGACTATCAAATATAACATTGTTCACAGTCAAATAAACAGTGTTAATGTTGTTTTCAAGCCACACTTGCATGCTAAATCCAATCAAATATTCAAAGAAACATGGTAGAGACTTCTAAATGAACGAATGTGCAAATATAAAAACAACTTTACCTCTATCCCTCCTGGACTGAGTTTGAGCACCCTTGGTTTAAACAATAACAAAAAGGAAAATGCAGTATTTAACAAGTGTTTTGGCCAACAAGTAGACTACAGAAGCCTATTAATTATAAAAATGAGAGGGAAAAAAACGACGAATATAGTCTATTGATATAAATGGCATTAAAATAACCAAAGTTTATAAAAAGGACTCTCATGCATGTAATATGTGGCTTGGAGAAATTACATTTGGAGGGAATTAGCTACTGTTTGAAATAAAACTTGAGCAATTTGACAAAATCTGGCATCCTTTAATTCTGTTACCTTGACAAGAACCCTGTGGACTAATGTATCACTTGTGTGTAAGGTTTTTATTTTGAATTTTCATCATACTCTTGAGTTTAAAGGTCTTTGTAAACAAGTCTTTTGAGGGATGGCTTGTGCTGTGGGTGAGTTTATTTTAATTTATTTATTTTCTATTTCTTTGCACATATAATATTTGGACTGATAATCCTTTTTCCTAAATCTTTGTCTTCAATAAAAACTTATTTGACAAACCAAACAACAATAACCAACAAGAATGAACAATTCTAGGCTTGCCTAAATGTACAGCAGCTAGTTATTTAAACCATTGCAATGTGGTCCTGTCATTGACCCATGAACATTTCCTGCGGGTTGTCAAACTATTTCATAACTGTAAGAAGAGGCAATTCAATCCTAGCTTAATGTCAGCTGTTTTAACATTATTTATTAATATGTGGCTTATTTTGGACTCTTGGAAGCTATAAAAAATGTAAAACAGGAAATACATCGAGACCATTGTTTTTGTTTACATCCTTTAACATAGTCTATAGCCTATCCATGGCTTCAATCTACTGCCCATTGTAAGTGAGCATCAAAACTATATGCTCTGTGGGCGTCTATGAATTGCATACCTCTCATTTGAATAGCTGAAATAAATACGGTGTGTTAGTTGTATGGAAGAGCATATGGTATACAGATGCATGTGGGTGGGTGTATGTGAGTGTACATGCGAGTTTGTGGGCGGATGTTTGTATGCGTGTGGATGGATAGTGCGTGGTAACTACTAACGTTACATAACCACGTTCACGTTTACCTACTCATAGCTGTTGTCCATGTGATGCTCCATTCTGTGTTCTTCTAATGTCAACCCTTCTGTTCACATCCACATCCTGCCATTGAATGATGAGTCAGAAATATTAGCAGCAAATACAAACACAGTCTGCCCAGGAGCTCGAGTAAAGCTGAATGATCAGTATAGGTCGAACTGTTTATAAACGACTATGTGTCATTATTAAGAATGGATGTGTCTCGAAATTAAAGTTACAGGAAAGGTTCATGTTTCTTGTACCACACCATGTGACTTTTGGATCTCTAGCGGTTGAAACGAAGTCTCCAGCGGAGGAATGTTGTTTTATAAGTAGGTTGTGATTAGGCTCCGCTATACTACGCGGATGATAAATAGGGTTTTTTCCGACATTAAAACTCTAACAATAACAAAACCTAGGCATATAACTGAAAATATAAGCAGGTAAGCAACTTTAATTTACAAGTAGTTTTGATATGTTGGTTTGGTTTAGATGTGTTGAAAGTCTGTGTAGCCATTAGTCATAACGATTGGTATCTATTGATGTTTAATTAGGCACTATGTTTTTTGCCTTTGTACTCATATCAAATAGGCTACTAGGGTAAAACTGTGTAAA